TCTATGGAGCCAGTATCACTCTAATACCAAAACCAGGTAAAGTCACAACAAAACAAGAGAAAACTATAGACCCAACTCCTTAATGAACATAGATGCAAAGATTCTCAACAAAATACTCGCAAACCTCATATAGATGCACACCAAAAAGATCATCCACCATGATCAAGTCGGCTTTTTTCCAGAGATGTAGGAATGACTCAATATACATAAGTCAATAAATGTAATAAACCATATAAATGGACTTAAAGACAAAAACCACATGGTCATCTCAATAGATGCAGAAAAGGTCTTTGACAAAATCCAACATTCATTCATGATAAAAGTCCTAAAGGGAACTGGACTGTAGGAAACATACCTCAACATAATTAAATCTATATACAACAAACCCACAGTCAACATCATTGTAAATGGAGAAAAACTGGAAGCATTCCCATGAAAATCAGGAACCAGACAGGATGTTCACTATCTCTACTCCTTTTCAATATCGTGCTTAAAACTCCTGCTAGAGCAATAAAACAAGAGAAGGAAATTAAAGGAGTACTAATCAGAAAAAAAGAGATCAAACTATCACTATTTGCAGATGATAAGATATTATATATAAAAGATTCCAAAATTCCACCAGAAAGTCCTAGAAATGATGAACACTTTCATAAAGTGGCAGGTTACAAAATCAACTTACAAAAATCAGTAACCTTTCTATATACCAACAACAAGCAATCAGAAAAAGAATTCAAAGAAACCCTCCCACTCACAATAGCCTAAAAAAAATCTAGGAATAAACCTAACCAAAGACATTAAAGATCTTTACAATGAAATTTTTAAATCTTTAAAGAAATAGAGGAAGGCACCAGGAGATGGAAGGACCTACTGTACTTATTGATTGGTAGAATATTGTGAAATCTTACCAAAAGCAATCTATAGAGTCAATGCAATGCCAGTCAACATCCCCATGACATTCTTCACAGAGCTAGAAAAAAAATCCTAAAATTCATATGGAATCACAAAAGATCCTGGATAGCAAAAGCAATCTTGGGCAAAAAGAACAATGCTGTGGGGAATCACCATACCAGAGCTCAAACTTTATTCACTGAGCTATAGTCATAAAAACAGCATGGTACTGGCACAAATATTTCCCTTTTTGTCTGTGAAGTTGCTGGATTCGTTTTGTGTGTGTGTGCTATTTTTCTTTTTTTTTTTTTTTGCCTATTTGATATATGTGTGAAACAATGTCAAACAATAAACTGGAATTTTATTTTGCTGAGTTGTTCCAAAAAAAAAAATCTAAGAAACACTTTAAAAAGTGCTCAGTATCCTAGAGTAATTAGAGAAATGCAGATTAAAACTACTTTAAGATTCCATCTTACCCCAGTAAAATCAAGAGAACAAAAGACACCAAATGCTGTGAGGGTGTGGAGAAAGAGGAAGCTCATCCACCGCTGGTGGGAATGCAAACCCGTGTAATCACTATGGAAAGTAGTGTGGAGAGCTCTTAAAAAATGAATCTACCATATGACCTGGTTATACCACTCCTTGGCATATACCCAAAGGACTCATCCTACTGTAGAGATAATTGTACATCCACGTTTGTTGCTGCTCTTTTTATAATAGCTAAGGAATGAAAACCATCTAAGTGTCCCTCAACTGACAAATGGGTAATGAAAATGTACATTTACACAATGGAGTTCTACTCAGCAGTAAGAAAAGATGAAATTTGCAGGTAAACGGATGGAACTGAAGACTGTTACACCAGTAACACAGACTCAATCTGCAGATCGTAGCACCAGTCCCTTATATGTCAGTATATACCCTGATGCAGCGGCAGGAACCAGAAAAATAGAAAGGAAGCACGGAGGTAAATGGAAAGAGCCTGAAAGAGGGGGATAGATGGGAACAGATATTACCAAGGGGGGAATGAGGGAAATGATGGTATTCAACTGGGAAGGGAGGAAGAAAGGACATACAAAGAACCATGGGGGTAGAGGGAAAGAAGGAACTCTCCTATCATAGAGGAGATGGGAAACGGGGGCACTTAAGCTGGGGAGGGAAGGAGGGTAGTTAGGGAGAGAGAGAGAGAAGAGAGATAAAGCTTAGATGACATAAAAAGCCAGAGGGACATTAACTCAAAATCCCCCCATAAAATACCTGAACACGAGTGCATGTGTGTATAACAAGAAGCACAGTGCAGAGAGGAGAAACCTCCCTCTGAGCTATTGGTCAGGGTAGTCCAGGGGACTCCCACAATAACACAGGCTATTGCCACAGCTCTTGATCGCCTCCCAGAACTTGAAGGTAAAACCCTATTGCTGAAGAGAAGACATACTTCAGACAGGAATTGGAACCATGGAGGTGGAACCAACCTGGAAATCTCCTCTCTGAAGACAAGCGCTCATAGTTCTAGAGGACACTATGCAATCTATCTCTGTTGGTGCAGAAGTGGCACTTTAACCTAGGGGGTGATCAACAGCTGTCTAGAACTTAAGGCCCTCTCAGTGGGAGGGAACTCATGGGTGGCACTGTAAATATAGCCACATACACATGGCAGAGAGGTCATAGATTCTAGAGAAAACCCTATCTCTAAACAAATGAAATTTCTTACTGTATGCTAATATGAATCCTTATATTTTCAGACAAGTACACTGTACACCACTCATCAAAGAAGTTTCTTTTTGCAACAGATGGAGGCTGCTACAGAGTTCTACAACTGGTCACGCACAGAGAATATATGTCTGAGAGATGCCCAGTCCTAAATGATACATCTATAGTGGAACCTCTATACCTAAGGCTCATGGAACATAGCGGAACAGGGGTAGAGAGAACACTAATCCGTCCCTCAAGTCTCACCAGTGAAGCGTCCTCCTACAATGCACACAGAAGGCTACAACTGGCTGCATTTTAGAGACTAGGAGACTGCAGAGTACACATGTCTGGATAGACTCCTATATTAAACCTCACCCACCCACAGCTCGGGGCCATTGCAGAAAAAGGAATGGAAAGATCGTAAGTGCTGGAGCATGAACATAAGGAAACAGAGGCTTTCAGGTCACTGGGAACTTGATATGAACTTGCAACAATGGTGACAGCATGCACAAGACCCATGCTGACTCAATCAGACAAAAACCCAGCATAGAAATGAAGGGAATGGGCAGCAGGCCCCAACCCTAGTGGAGGAACTATTGGCAACTGATGACTGCTGGGTGAGGGAAAGATCTTTAAAGGAGTGACTCTAAACAGTCTGACTAGACTCTAGTGGGTGAACTTGCACCAAGGGACATCTGGGTACAAATGCTTGACTGGAAAGGACTTAAAATACATGACAAAATGCATGGTATCTGGGGAGGGGTCTATGGGGGTGCGGAAGGGGGAGGGGGTCTAAATTTGATTATGAAATGCACAAAAACTCAAAAAAAAATTTTTTTGTCTTTTTGAGACAGGGTCTCCGTGTAGCCCCAGCTGTCCTAGAACTCACTATGTAGACCAGGTTGGCCTTGAACTCACAAAGATCCACCTCCCTCTGCCTCCCAAGTGCTGGGATTAAAGGTGTGCGCCACCACGCCTGGCTTCAAAAGATATTTTTAAAAAAAGAAGTGGGGAGTCTGCTGGGTGAGATGAAACACACCTATAATCCCTGCACTGGAGAGGCTGAAGCAGCAGGATTAGGAGCTCAAGACAGCCTGGACTAATGAGAGTTTGAAGCCAGCCTCAGCTACATAATGAGACTCTGTCTAAAAACAAAGTGAGAGGACTGGCTCTGAGCACCAGGGCCGTAGGACAGGAACGTACCTGGATGCAGGCTGGGTTAGACCCCTCAACCCTGGTGCTGTGACATCCTGTTTCAGGAGTCCTCAGTTCAAATCTGGTCTTCTCTGCCATTCTTCTGTGACTGGGGGGGGGGGTCATGTGCCACCGCCACCTGTCCTTATGGAGGGTGGTGACAACATGAGGCATGAGGAGGAAGCAGGGCTGAACTCAGGGTCTAAACACACAGTGCTGCAGCTCACTGTGTAACCTGGAGGTTCAGGGGCCAGGTCTGTGAGATAGGTACTGTTGGACAGCAATTTCCTCTGAGATAAATCTCTGTCTTTGAAGGAAGCGCTCCTTAAGACACAGCATGTTCTAAGGGGAGGTGAAGTATTCCATCCAACAGGGAAGCTCCTTAAGCTCTGGAAGTAACAGTTCGGTGGCTTCAGGAAGTTCCTGAAATTGACCAGGTTCACTAGGCTCCTCCCTCCCCAAGCATATATAAGCCCTAAGGACTGCTGAGACACTCACACCAGCTGAGCTGCCTGGAAAGAACACTCTCCAACTTGTCAGCTGCCTGTAGTTGTGCAGTGTTCTCCAGGTTTCCAGTTTTCCCAAGCTGTCACCCATGCTGGGGTGGGCTTTGGTGATGCAGCTGTCTTTGAGTCATTTCTGCTCCTGTAAGTAACCCCTCACCCATTCTCCTGCAAGCAAGGCCAATAGCTCACTGGTTCACCAAGTTGGACTTTAACTTTGGTGGTATTGTCACTCTACTCTGTCATTGGTTCCCTGCCTGGGGTGACTACATGTTTGTTCATGGCTCCCTAGGAATAGTATCACACAACTACATGCTATAGCCTCCACCTAGACCTCTGCCTCTGTCCTTGTGATAGAGAACTGTGGAAATGAGGAGCAGGCCCCAATCTTGGATGTCCCTCCTCAGAGAGGCCCTTGCTGGCCACCATGTGGTGCTTGCTAAACAAATGTGCTCGGTTCTCCCCTGCCCTCCTGCCATGTGGGCAGACCTGGGCTTTATCCCTTCCACATGTGCAATGAAAGAATTGGTAAACAAACTCCAGAGAAGCCCCCAAGGCTGTGGCCAGTGCCTGGTGTGTCCATGTGCCCTGTGCCCATCCCCACACAGTCAACCTCAAGGATGTGTGCTTTCTGCCCACAACCTCCTTGCTGCTCAGGAAGACCCTGAGAAAGGAAAGATGAGACAGATGACACCCGGGATGTCAAGGTAGGAAGGGGGTACACACCTGAGATGCGCGCTGGTCGAACACTGTGTCAAAAATGAAAGTGCGCTCTCGGGACCGGTGTGCACGCAGGGGGTCCTCCGGGTCTTCACTGGGGTCCATAAGCACAACCACCTGGGAGCAACAAGACACAGGGTCAGGGAAGACAGGTCAGAGCTTCAAGAACCCTAGTCACACCCAGGGCAAGGGCAGGGCCAGGAACAGCTGCCATTTGTTTTCTCTCCCTCTCCCTCTCCCTCTCCCTCCCCCTCTCCCTCCCCCTCCCCCCCCCCTATATATAGAGGGCTCCCACTGCAATAAATGTTGCTTTACTTTGTTTCTGATTCTGTAGTATATTACTTTCCTTTTGTTACTAGATTAACTGCTGAAATTTATTGTTGGGTTTTTTTTTTTTTTTTCGGTCTTTTTGAGACAGTGTCTCCCTGTAGCCCCAGCTGTCCTGGAACTCACTATGTAGACCAGGCTGGCCTTGAACTCACAGAGATCCGCCTGCCTCTGGGATTACAGGCGTGCGCCACCATACCCAGCTATTGTTGTTCTTTTAAGACAGGGTCTCCCCCCTGTTGCTGAAGACAGGACAGACTTCAGGCACAGGATTTGGAGCAATGGAGCTGGGACTGACCTGGAAGCCGCCTCCCCTGAAGGCTAGCTCTCATAGCTTTGGAGAGCACCACACAAGCTGGTAAGGGAGAGCATCAATCAATGGTCCAACCCCAGCTTCAGGGCCTAAAAACCACATCAATGGCCAGCACAGCAAACAACATTGGTGCAGTAGTGGCACATATCTCAGGGTAATCAACAGCTACCGAGTTGGACTTAAAGCCCACTCAGTGGGAAGAAATTCATGTGTGGTACTGTAAATTTAGCCAAATACACATAGCTGGGTAGGTGATAGATCTTAGAGAAAACTCCAAGACTGTCACATCCTTAGACAAATGTAATTTCTTACTATGTGCAAAATATAGATCCTTAAACTTATAGACAAGTATCCCAGTCACCACCCATCAAAGAAGCTTCTTTTTCAAGAGAGATAATTACATAGTTCTACAACTGGTCACACATAGAGATGGTCTGTGAATTGCCTGTCTAAGTGGCACATCTAGGATACAACTTCTACATCTAAGGCTCACGGAACATAAAACAAGGGGTGAAGAGAACACTAACACATCTCTCAGTTCTCATCAGTGAAGCTCCCTCATGCAACAGAGGCCCAGGAACACAAAAGGCCACAAATGGCCAAAGCACAGAGAATAAGAGTCTGCAGAGTGTGGGTCCTTGGACAGGACTCCTATATCAAAATCTACCCATCCAGGGCTTAGGGACCATTGTGGAAGAGAGAATGGAAAGATGGTAAGAGCCAGGGAGGAGGTACATGACCATACGGAAACAGTCCTACAGGCTCCTGGGACCCTTCTCATACAAACCTACAGCAATTGTGTCAGCATACACAAGATACATGCAAACTCAGCAGACAAAAACCCAGCACAGAAATGTGGAAATGAGCAGCAGGCCCCAATCTCAGTCAAAGAATTATTGGCAGCTGATAATTGCTAGGTGAGGAAGAGCAGATGTTAAAGGGAGGGATTCTAGATAGGCTGACTAGATCCCAGTGGACGAACCTGCACTGAGGGACATCTGGGGACACTAACTTTACATGATGGGCCTTAACACAAATGATGGAATGTATGAACTCCAGTAGGGGGTGCTATGGGAGGTGCCAAAAGGGAAGGGGATATAAAGATGATTTTTCTGCATGAAATACACAAAAATTCAATAAAAAAAAAGCCAGGGTCTCCCTGGAACTTACTATGTAGACCAGGCTGGCCTCAATCTCATAGAGATCTGCCTGCCTCTGCCTCCAGAGTGCTGGGATTAAAGACATGTGCCACCACATCCAGACACACCCAGCCACACCAGTCTTTTATGTGGGTACCTGGAGCCCAAACTCAGGTCCTCAAGCTTGCTAGCAAGCACTTTACCGACAGTGTTCACTCACTCTGTGAGCCAGTGTCCCCTCTATCACATGCCCAGGGCCTTACCATGCACTGTCCTCTACCATCAGGCTCTGCAATCACGTAAATGTCACTCAGACAAACACAGCCTGAGAAGGGCAGCCTGCCGTGCATGAACAACTGACTAGCACCAGCCTCCCACTAAGGTCACAAGGTGACGGACCCTCCCAAGAACCAATGGCAGGCACCACAGGAGGCTGTGCAAACTATAGAGTTCTGTGTTAGAGTGTAAAAGTAAAGGTGTGTTCAAATGCTGTGCTCACCCTACAGGACAGGAGAAGACAAAGGGATTGTCCCAAAGCCTCCACCCACACCTTCCACTTCTCAGAGAGCCTGGCTGTCCCCAGGGCCATGTAGGTCCCATATAAATATATTATGAAACAAACGTGTTAGGACCTCTGGGGACAAAGAGATCAAAGGAGTCTTCTACAGGGATTTGGGGGGCAGGGAAACTGGCAGAGGCTGAATGCACCCTGGCTGGAGGGGACATGGGGCTGGGCACCAGAGAGGAATGTGGGAATTGGGGACACAGCTGGGCAGTTCTGAGGGTCCTGCCATGTGATCGCTGGTCGCGCCTCCTCTGTTCTCAGCTTTGAAAACCGAGGTCCTGGGAGGCCAGGCTCTGGCAGAGCTTCCCCTGGCTCCCTGGCTTCCGGCCAGCATTTGCTCTGTGACATAAGCTGACTCTGTTTGCTTATCTGCTGAGGGTGGACATGAACTGTCCCTCTGTCATCCTGCTCTGTGACACTCTCTTGGATGGGTCTCCAGCCAGGGGCTTCCTTCTGATCAGTAGGGACTGGGAGGAAGCCATGAGGCCATGGATCATGAAAGTGGGCTCCAGAGCTCTGGAGCCTGATTTCAAACCGCATCCTGGCTCTTCCACTCACTCAGGTGGGGGTTTAGGACACTGCCTCACTGTTCTTATCTGTAAAGCAGCACTGATAATAGAATCTGCCCACTACAGAGCTGCAAAGGGTGATAAGTCAATGCACAGCACACACCCCTGGGGGCTCAAAAAGTACCTGCTGTATTGGGTTCTAACCAGAAAGTATGAAAAATGTGTGTGTGAGTGCAGGTGCATGTGTGCCACAGAACACATGTGGAGGTCTGAGAACAACTTTAAAAAAAATTTTTTTTAAAGTATATGGGTGTTTTGCCCGCATATATGTAAATCCACCACATGAATGCAGTGCTAGTGCTAGAGTAACAGATCGTTGTTAGCTGCCATGTGGGTACTGAGAAATGAACCCAGGTCCTCTGCAAAATCAGCCGGTGCTCTTAACCACTGAGCCATCTCTCTAGCCCCAAAGGACAACTTTTGGGAGTCAGTTATCTCCTGCTACTTTGTGGAATCTGGGAATTGAACTCAGATTGTCAGGCTTGCACACAAGTGCCTTTACCTGCAGAACCATCTTGCCAGACCCAGAAAACTATTTTTATTGTTGCTACAGAGAACATTATCCTTATTTGCAGATGATATGATTCTACACATAGGAGTCCTTAACGACTCCACCCGAAAACTCTTAGAACTGAAAAACACCTTCAGTGAAGTGGCAGGATACAAAATTAACATACAAAAATCATGTGAGATGACTCCGCAGGTAACGGTGTTGCCGTGCACACCTGGCGACTTGACTTCCATCCCTGGAACCCACGTAAAGGTGGAATTAGAGAACCAATTTCATAAAGTTGTCCTCTGACCTCCACATGTGCACTGTGACACACCTGCACCCACACACACATCATACATATAAACAACAACAACAATGTAAGCAGTCTTCTTATATACCAATAACAATCACCTGAAAGAATCAGGCAAACAATCCCATTCACAATAGCCTCAGGGAAAAAAAATGCCTTGGAATAAACCAAACCAAGGACGTGAAAGGCCTCCAAAACAAAAACTTATTTATTTATTTGTTTGTTTGTTTGTTTTTGAGACAAGATTTCCCTGTAGCCACAGCTGTCCTGGAACTGCGGTGTAGACCAGGCAGGGATCCACCTGCCTCTGCGTAGCTCTAACAAAACTTTAAAACATTCGTCAGAGAAATTGAAGAAGACACTAGAAAATAGAAAGGCCTCTCTTGTTCCTAGATGCCAAGAAGCAAGGTTGAGAATAGATAGACATGATGGCGCCTACCTTTAGTTCCAGCACTCGGGGGGGCAAGGCAGGTGGAGCTCTGTGAGATCAAGGCCAGTCTGGTCTACACAGTGAGTTCCAGGACAGCTGGGGCTACAGGGAGACTCTGTCTCAAAAGTCAACAACAATAACAACAAAACATAAACAAAAAGAGAACCTTGGGTTTGAAAGATGGCTCGGAGGTGAAGAACACTTGCTACTCTTGCAAAGTGACCAGGCTTGGTTCCCAGCACCCACATTAGGCATCTCACAACTGCCTATAACTCCAGCTCCAGAGGATCGAATGCTCTCTTCTGGCCTCTGCAGGTACTGCACACATGTACATATGCACACAGAGACACATATACAAACAAACAAACAAACAAACAATAAATAAATAAATCTTTAATGTTTTTTATTTATTATTTTGATTTTATGTGCATGAGTATATTGCCTGCATATATGTAATTGCACCCATGTCATGCAATGCCCACGGAGGTCAGAAGAGGGCATCAAGTCCCCTGGAACTGGAGTTACAGACAGTTGTTGGCTGCCATGTGGGTGCTGGGATTCAAACCTGGGTCTTCTGCAAGAACATCCAGTGTTCTTAACTGCTGAGCCATCTCTCCAGCCCCCAGTAAATAAATAAATCTTTAAAAAACAAAGACAGCCTCTGTAACAAATGGTGCTGGATAAACTGGCTATCCACATGCAGAAAAATCAACAAAAATCAAAATGTGTAAAATCAACTCTGGTGAATCAAAGACTTTAACGTAAGATCTGAAAATCTGAAAACCTGGGAAGAAAAAGTAGAGGACACTTTAAGATATGGGCATAAGTAAGAGAGGACTTTCTGAAGAGGAATCCAGACACTCAAGAAATAAGGGAAATTATTGACAAATGGGACCCCATGAAATTAAAAGGCCTCTATTTATAAAGGAAACAATTTATTGAAGGAAGAGGCAGCCTACAGAAAGGAGAACAATCTTTGTCAGCTATACATGACAGAGTACTAATATCTAGAATATACAAAGAACTCAAAAAATAAATAATAAGGAAATAAACCACTTAATCTAAAAATGGACGAAAGGGCTGAAGCAAGGGTTCTCAAAAGAAGACTCCGAGGCAGAGGTAGGCAGGTCTCTGTGATGGAGGGCAGCCTAGTCTACATAGCAAGTTCCAGGCCAGCTGTGGCTACAGGCAGATGCTGTCTCAGAACAAAAAGGGGGACGTGTTAAACATTCTTAGCCATTGGGAAATGAAAATTAAAATTACCTTGAGGGGCTGGAGAGATGACTCAGCTTAAGAGCACTGGCTGCTCTTGCAGAGGACTCAGGTTCGGTTCCCAGCACCCACATGGTGGCTCACAACCATCTGTCACTCCAGCTCCAGGGAATTCAATGCCCTCTTCTGAACTCTGTGAGCACTGCATGCACATAGTGCACGTACATACAGAGTAAATTCCTGATTTTGCTCCCTAGGAGTCCCTGTTGGAATTCACTTTGTGTTGCATCTTCTCTCATGACTGGTCACAATGCTGAACGTGCCGTAGTCACTGTTCTGTTTGGGCACATTTCTGCACGCTTCATTTTGGTTTGGTCTTTTTGAGACAGGATCTCCCTGGGAAACCTGGGAGCGCTGGGATTAAAGGCGTGCACCACCACTCCCAGCTTCTGCACACTGAACTCTTCCCATTGAGCTTCATTTTTACTGTGATTCTTTCCCCTTTCATGAGTTCTCACTGCACAAATTCAAACCTTAGGAGGATCCCTGGGGCTCAGTGACCAGCCAGTCTGCCAGTCTACCCTGATCCAAGAGTCCAAGATCCCAGTGAGAGACCCTGTTTCCAAACACGAGGTGGCTGGCTCCTGAGGAATAATACCCAAGATTGTCCTCTGGCCTATACACATACATATACACATACACACACATGCACATGCACACACATATACACACACAGAGACACAGACAGACAGACACACACGTATATACAGATAAAAACCCCAAAATGTAAAAAATTAAAAGGAGTTGTGTGAGGGCGTAGCCATCTCAGCCTGTCCCCAGAACAGCCTTCATGTAGGCATCTGTTGAGCAGATGACGGAGCATGTGACACAGACACAGCATACCCCTTGGCCCCAGGCCCACCTGGTCCCCCACTTTGTGGGCGATGACAGTGGCTCCTTCCTCCAGTTCTGTACAGTTGAGCGGGCGGATCCGAAGGGCCACCTGTGGACAGGACACGAGCTGAGTCAACAAGGCCCCCTGGTCTTGGAGAGCTCAATGAGGCAGTTGAGCCTGATCCCTGTGCACTCCGACTCCACTTGCATGGAGTTCTTCCTGCCTGGTAGCAAGGCTCTGTGATCTGTGGTTACATCACTCCCACTGAACACAGAGGTGGAGCAACTCGCCCAAGGTGACACAGCACCTGTTGAAGCCACCACCAGAAGAGAAGCACACCCAGATCTTCCAGCCTTCCAAGAGCACTTTCAGGAGAAACCTGTGTACTTTAAATATCCCTGAACTCTGCTGGGCCCACCATGTCTAAGGATGTCAATGGGAGTCCTCTGGGCTTTTACTGTAGACGATATGTGGCCAGCTGCTCCCTTAACCAGCCACAGATGGCCAGCTCACCCCGTGGCCTAGCAGGTGGATCTGGATGAAGCCTGTTCACCAGATGGGGTCCTGACTCAGACCCTGAGCTTTCTGGGGGAAGAAGTTTAGTGAATAAGGACAGTCTGGAGACTCAGGGTAAGAAGCATGGGGGCGGGGTATGTATCACTAGAAAGGAAAGTAGGACCCTGGTTTCTGGGAAGGGCTGGTGAGATCTGATGCGCTGTGCAGGGTTTGTAGTTTCTTGGAAGATAGGGACAGGGAGGGGCTGGAGCTGGCAGGGAACACAAGACAGGGTACATACCATCAGTTGCTGGTCCTTGGGCTCTACTTCCCTCAGGGCCAGGCTGCTCTGAGCAGGGGAGGGGTCTGTGATCTGTTGGGAAGGCATGCTGCAGGTTAGGACTGGAGGACTCCCAGGTAGCCTGGTAGAGTCGGAGCCAAGATCAGTTCTAGCTCAGCCCCGCCCTGCTCCTGGCTCACTCTGGTGACATCAGCTCAGTCCCCAGGGTTGGGGCTGGGCCTGCACTGAGCTCATTTACTAACCTGGTGTCACCCCCACTACCTGTCTCTTCAGCCAGGACAGCTCTGGTGTTTTGAGTACTCTCCAAGCAGCAGACCTCCCAGGTGACATCTGCATAGGAGCTCCATCAGGCCCATCTGTAAAGTAAGTTCCCCTTATGCCACAGGAACCTCCGTTCTAGAGCTGAGCAACCTGGTAGAGCCATCAGAGGATCCTGCAGTGTGGAGTCGCTTCTTACCTTGAGCTTAGGAGAGGGTTGGCCAAAGGCTCACCTGTTTTCTACCTAGGAGCAACCTTGACACAGGCTAAGACTTTGTGGCTTCCCACCCAAGGGACAAACAGCAACAGCGGAAGTGAAACGAAACAATTCCAGCCAGATGTCTTTCAAAGATGAGCAAGTTTCTGGTGGGATTTCTAGCCCCTTTCTTTTGATTTCAGTCTGCACACCTAGGGACAGGATTAGGGACCGATCTGGTAGATTTACTGCTTCAATACTGAGTCAATTCTTCCATGAGAGTCCTGTGGATGACCCTACTCTGTGAATTCATCAGGCCAAAACAGACTACACCTGCCATGTCGCACGCACAAGGTAATGAGTGAAGGCTGGAGCCAGGCTTGGTGATGCAGGTCTTTGATCCCAGCACTCAAGGCAGAGGCAGGTGGATCTCTCTGAGTGTTAGGCTAGCCTAAGTAAGTTCCTCTTATGCCACAGGAAAAGTGAGGTCCAGGCCACCCAGGGATATGAGACCCCATCCCAAAAAAGGCCAGGCTTGGGGACTAGTGAGATGGCTAGTTGAAAGCATTTGCCACCAAACCTAGAGTTTGGTTCCTGGGACTCCTGGTAGAAGAAAACTAATTAGCTGGCTCTAGTGGCACAAGCGTTTAATCTCAGCACTTGGGAAGGAGAGGCAGGCAGATTATCTGAGATCAATGCCAGCCTGGAACTGTCTCAAGAAAACATTAAAAATACATACATACACACACATATATATGTAAATACACAATCAGGCTTGGGGCTGATGGCTCAGCAGTTGAAGGTGCTTGTTACCAGATCTAAAGACCTGAATTCAGTCTCCCACATGGTGGAAGGAAAATAGTGGACTATTGCAAGTTGTTCCATGACCCTCACATGCACACCTCAAATAAAATATAGTACATTTAAAATTTTTATTTTTTAATTTTAAAAAATTTATTACTTCTGCCGGGCGTGGTGGTGCACACCTTTAATCCCAGCACTTGGGAGGCAGAGGCAGATGGATCTTTGTGAATTCGAGGCCAATCTGGTCTCCATAGCGAATCCAGGCCAGCTAGGGCTACAGGGAGACCCTATATCAGAGACCAAAAAAAAAAAAAAAAAAAAAAATTATTACTTCTATTTTATGTGTATGCATGTATTGCTTGCATGTAGGTAAGTGCACCCATCATGCAATGCCCAAGGAGGTCAGAAGAGGCTGTGGGATCCCCTGGGACTGGAGTTACAGTTGTTAGCTGCCATGTGGGTGCTGGGATTTGAACCCGGGTCTTCTGCAAGAACAACCAGTGTTCTTTAACAGCTGAGCCATCTCTCCAGCCCCTATTTTATTATTTTTGTGTGTGAGTGTTATTCCTGCATGTAGGTAGATGCACCCATGTTGTGCAATCCCTGTGGAGGACAGAAGAGGCTGTTGGATCCCCTGGAACTGGAGTTGTTAGCTGCCATGTGGGTGCTGGGATTCGAACCCGGGTCTTCTGCAAGTGTTCTTCACCGCTGAGCCATCTCTCCAGCCCCCCTTTATTTATTTTTTTGGTCTTTTTGATACAGGATCTCCCTGTAGCCCCAGCTGTCCTGGAACTCACTATGTAGACCATTTTGGTCTTTTTGATACAGGATCTCCCTGTAGCCCCAGCTGTCCTGGAACTCACTATGTAGACCATTTTGGTCTTTTTGATACAGGATCTCCCTGTAGCCCCAGCTGTCCTGGAACTCACTATGTAGACCATTTTGGCGGCTCTTTAAAATTTTTTTTAATGGGGCTGGAATCCCAGTACTCGGGAGGCAGAGGCAAGCGCATCTCTGTGAGTTCAAGGCCAGCCTGGTCTACATAGTGAGTTCCAGGTCAGCTGGGGCTACTGGAAGACCCCATCTCAAAAAAAGACACCCCCCCAAAAAAATTTGATACTCCAAATATTGTCCTGCCTTTTGATGATAGACTGCACCTATGAGGCCCAAATTTGGACCACGGGTTAATGATACACCTAACCTGTGGCGGTGCCTGGCAATAAGCCCCACTGTGCTTTCAGAAACCAAAACACCTTAAGTGTGGACAAGGCTGCCTTTCAGCAGTGGCACTCCTTTCTGTGTCCTTAGTGTAGGGCACCAGGAAATGCCACAAGGGCCAGAAGATCAGCTTCTGAAACCCTCGGGCCCTACCATTAAGAGCCCAGGCCCCAGCAAAGCCCTGATCACAGCTGTCCTGTCGTGTCCTGTCCCCCACCCCCTCCAAGAGCAACATGGGCTCAGTCTTCCCCACAAGAGGCCAGGCTAGACTCCTACGCCATAGAAGACAGAAGGCACAAGCTTCAGAAATGCTTTTATTTACAAAAAAGAAAAATTACAATCAAATTTCAAATAGTGGAAAGTTTAGAGCAGTTAAGAATCTATTCTTGTAATAGGACCACACCCCCTTCTCACTGCCATAAAACTAGAAAAGACGTGTTTAAAGAAAAAGAGTGTGGACAATACTATAGAGGAAAGCCACTGATGTGGCCCAGGACCCCGACAGAACCTTAGAAAAGCCAGGGGCAAAAGGAACTGGAGGCTCAGGACACCAACATGGAATTCCACAGCCACCCCCTCCCCTGTAGGCTACAGCAGCCTGCCCTCTGGCTGGAGTATGCAGAGCCTGCAGATGTACTAGCTGTGGGCCCAGGGAGCCCTCCAGTCAGACTGAAGCTGATGGGACCCCCCACAACTGCACAAGGCAGGCCTGGGAACACAGCCACAGCTCGGTCTGGGATGAGATCCTGGGATGGCACCTGTTCATGGTCTCTGAGAAACTGCAAAGAAGCACGTTCAAGTGGCTGGCCTGGCACCCTCGGTACCCACCCTCCACCCTGTCCAACTCTGAAGTCTAAAGGTGGAATGAGCATTTTTGTAGAAACAGAAGCTACATCTGGGAGCCAATGCACCAGCTCCTACAGAATCCTACAGGTGTCCTACAAGCCAGGAGCATGTGATGGACCCTCATCAGGGAAAGAGGGCAAGCCCCCGTTGAAGGTAGCTGTGGATATTCAAAGAGAGGAACCAGACAGGGTTTTCAGACAGGGTTGCTTTATTTCCACGTCCAACCTGTGCAGAGAACCTGCCACAACCTGAACAGGTGCAGGTGCTGCAGAGCTCACTGGCACATGTAAGTGGTGGGCGTGCAGCCTCCCAGATGGTCTCCAGGCTCCCCAACACTGGCCCATGTGGGACAGCAAGTCCAAGAACGGTAGCCCCACTGAACTGCAGGCGGGGGCTCTGGAAATGCCACCAGCAGGAGTGAGGAGCTGCCTGGAGCCGTGTGGAGGCCCCACAGCAGACATGGTTGCTAAAACCCAAAGGAGAAAGTGAGAGCGGAGCCTTGAAGCCTCCACTGCGGACCCAGGGGCTGAAGGCACAGAGCTGTGTCAGGATGGAAGAACCCCAGGTGCGATCGCAGTCCAGAGCAAGAAAGCACAGCAAGAACCCGAGTCCAGGAGGTGCTCTGCGAAGGGTGGCCTCGGGTCCAGGGCACGGCATGGTGACACTGCAACAGAGGACCGCCATTAACTTAACAGTGGGGACCACCACTGGCCCCAACCTACACAGGCTCAGAGCTTGAGAGCGGATCTGCTCTAGGCTGTGAGGGAGGTAGGTCCCCAGTCCAGAGCTGCCATCATGGAGACCACAAGGTTTAGCCCTCGTCCAACAGCTGCACATATGCACTCCTGCACTTGACCTGAACTGACTAGACACTACAACACCAGGCTACAGCTACTGCACCCGATCCTCCTTCCTGCAGTGCTTGGAGGCTGGTAACCCAGAGCCCTCTGGAGATGGTCATGCCAACCTGAGTGCTATCAAGCAGGCGAACAAGCAGCCAGAAAGCCTCATCTTCAGACACCTGTTGCCGTCCACCTGGTCACCATCCCCAGGTACCTGTCACTGTCAGCTCTGTCCTGTTCCCATCCGCCCCACCCTTGTCCCCAAGTACCTGTTCCCGTCCAAGTGTGAGGGAGTCTCACCACAGTGCTGAGGTCACTCCTGGTTCCCCAAAGGAATGACCTCCTCAGTGACAAAGAATTCGATGGTCTCCTCTTCCCAGTCATCCACGTTGCTGTCCAGCTCATCAGTGTCCACCCCTGAGAGGACAGAGAGTGAGCTGACCCTCTGGGCATGGCTGCATGCCCAGCCAAGGGGCTCTAACCCATGGAGGGCCACCACTCCACATGCAGACAAGCTGGAAGCTTGTTACCTCCTCGGAGCTCTAGACGCTCGGTCTTCTGCCTCATATAGAGCTCCTGGGCCATTTTCCGGTACTGCCGGAAATCTTCCATCATGGTTCGCCGTCTCTCCACTAGTTCCTGTCAGGTTGCAGAATGGTTAACTCACCAGTGGGATGTACTTCATCAACAAAAGGGACATCATTTCTGCCACAAGTCAGGTGACCTATTGGGGTTTTTCCAATCATTTTGCACTTCTAGGGATGGAAACCAGAGCTTTGGGCATGCTCAGCAAGCACTCCAGAGACCCTAAAGATGTCTTCACTTAAGAGAGACCCTCAATCTCCTTCCTGACACTGACCCTACCCCAAGCGAGGAAAACCAACCCCCACCCAGTGTTAGTGGGTGTTGGTTCCAGAAACAAAGGCTGGCCCAACCCCGTTCACCACTGCCTGTCTCCCTTACAGAGGGCAGACCAAGCCAGAGGTCCCTAGGGCCATGGGATGGGCTACCATAAGCATCTCCCTTCAGCTCACCTTTGAAGCTTTAGACTGGCTTAAGCGATCCTTCTGCTCAAAAATCTTAGAGTATTTCTTCAGATCCTTTTTAATTTGCTGCAACCAAGACAAGTCTCTCAGTATTTAACCTTCAAAGCCAGACTTCAACTACAGTCTTCAAAGCTGCCATGATGACTAACAGGACACGGCCTGGGCATCATGCACATCTAGCTTGGGAGTCTCATTCCTAGAGACAGCCCCTTCCTGGGGTGGGTCACCTCTCCCAGCTGTGACTGAACACTGCTGGTCCACCCCACCACCATCACACATATCCCTCCTGCCCCTTCCAATCCCACTGGGACTTGTTAACAGTCTGTCTGGCTTAGGCAGACCTTCCTTTTTTAAAGGACAGGAAGAGACAGGTTCTTCATGTTACACAGGTGAGGCTGACCGGCAATGCACCATCCTCCTGCCTCAGCCCCCTGGCACTGAGCATGTGCCACCAGGCCTAGCTTACCTGTTTAGGTTTACTTCCTAAAACCCCTTTAGTTTAGGTCTCCCTGACACTGTATCTCTTCAGAGACCCAGTCAATGTCCTGCCTCTACTCACTACTCCCCACCACCCATCCATCACAGTGCCATGACTCGAATACCCGAGCCTGGAGGGGCTACAGACCTTGATCTGCTCCTGGCTGAGGAGTGTGGGGGGCCGTGGCCTCCAGAGCAGCTGGCAGAAGCGGTCCTTGTTGTTCTTCTGCAGCAGGCGTCCTTGGAAGGTCCACAGCCAGTAAGCATTGTCCACCTAGGGAGGGCAGCACCCTGAGCGAGAGGGGCCTCCTGCAAACTGTGAGGCAACCAGGACCTCTACCCTCAGCAGCCCATGGCACCAACTGCTGCATCTGCCAACCTGTGCTCTGGGCACCCGAGACAGCACACTAGGGGCTAAACAAAGTCTGTGCCCAGCTATGCTTCCATCCAGCAGGGGAATTCGGTTAGTGAACAGAAGACACATGATCTAAGGAGCATGTGTCAAGAGCAGTTAGTAACTGCTCCTTGGAGCACAAGCCTGCTACAAGAAGCGATGTCAGAACAGAACATCAAACTTCCAGCACAAATCACAGTTCAGAGGACCCTGTCTTTCCCAGCAAGATTTCTCAACAAAGCGCCCCAACCAGCACGCTGGGCTCCCTGCTGCCAAGTGCTCTCTGGGAGCTACTTGGACTGAACAGGAGTGGCCCCACACGGGGCTAGGCAGGTGCTCTGCACTGAGCATGCCCAACCCTATATGCTGCTAAGCGAGGGATCAGGTGGGCCCTGCTGCAGCATCATCTGGATGTAGGCCCAGGACAGCACATCTTCATGTGAACAGAGATTATTTCCTGTACTATCTGAGAAGCTGGGGCTCAGCCTGAGCTCCTCACCTCAGCATATGGAACCTGCTACGCTCACAGACTGGTCTGCCTGCGCTGACTCAATAAACACAAAAGACAGTCTGTCCTCTGGAGGCACAGCCCCAGAGGTTAATGTGCAGACACTGTGCTCGGACCCACCCATGCTCTGGCAGCCGACCCTGTAGTGGTAGATCTGAGAGCCTCTGATCAGACAGCTCCTCACCCCACAAACGTCTGTGAGCAGTATGGTTCCAGGGTGAGGTCCTCGCACAAGAACAGTGTCTCGCAGAGCTGTGCTGTTTCTGTTGTTCCTATCACTGGGCCTAGCTCTTTACCAAAGAGAGAGACTTCGTTCTCTGAGGGTCCAGCAGCCACCATCTCCTACCTTATGGCTCCACCAGGAAACAGAGGTGACAACATAGCGTCCGGTTGGATCCCACTCAACGTCAGAGGCCATGTAGTGCTCTGCGATGTTCATGACGGTGCAGTCTGAGGTGTCAACAAATGCCAAGGCACCATTCATGCTGTGGGGGCAACACAGCAGCTGAGCCCCATGAGCACCCCACACACTGCCACCAGAGAGGTGCATGGGTGAGGAAAGGATCAAGGGCCAAGCAGCCTGCCGGCAACAGAGCTGTAACACCCTAGACCTCGGCCTACTGGGCCTCACAGTGGCAGTCTCCTGAGGCCTGGCATTCTGTGGCTTTGAGAGAAGGCATCACCCAAGGCAGCGTGTACACAGCAGCAGGGGACAAGTTCTCTCCAGGAGGTAGAGGCTGTCTCCTTCCCCCATCTATGTGTTCAGGCAGAAGACAGGAAAGCAAGGGAAGGGCACCCCACCACAGAGGCAAAGGCAGCCTCAGTCAAGGGTCTGCTCTGCTGAAAGACATTCCATGACTGCAGTCCAACCTGGTCTGGCTTGAGGCTCAGCTGTAAGCATAGCCAGTGGGATGATGACACCCCATCTAAACACAAACCCTCAGGAAACAGGTGCCACCACAGGGCCCAGGACCCACCTCCTCAGCCCAGCCAGCACCACAAACTGGCCCTGGGGACTCCAGAAGATGGTGTTTGCTTGCTGCTTGTCGAACATCTCTGTAAGGAAAGCAAGTGCCTGTGACGCCCTTCCAGTTAAGACACAGTGCCACTGCTGGCTGGCAGAGACCAAGTCCACACACAGCTCAGACCAAACCCATTGGCCAGCCCTGCAAAACCACTTCAAAAAAATCTCACCACTTGGATATAGCTTAAAAGTTACAATTTAAAAGAGTGGGGGAGTGAGCACTGATTTTAGGACCTAACTGAGGCTGAGGGGCAGAGAGGAGCAGACACAGCTACAAGAAAAGACAACTTCCCTGAACAATGGCCAAGAATGGCAGGTTGAGAAGTCCCTCCGAGTCACCCCCACCTTAGCACCCCGCATGTATTCCCTGGACCCACAGCCAGCCTATTCACAGGGCAGCAGTGAGAAGCCCCCACACAGCGGCTTACTGATGAGCTCGATCTTCCCATTGCTCTTCACATGGTAGAAGGAGACAGATATCCGCGGGGCCTCACCATGTAGCACAGCGAACTTACTGCCGTTGGGTTCCCAGGCAAAGGCTATGATGGTTTCTACAATGAACAGGAAAAAGTTACCAGCTCCATCATCTCGCACACAAATGTTTCCATTAGCTAAGGTCTTTACTACTGAACTGGAGAGAAGCCTCCAATCACAAACTCATTAATGGGACCATAGATCAACTGACAGCAAAAACAAAACCAAACCAAAACACTGCCAGTCCAAAAGTACTGGTTTAATCTGTTTGTGACGCTGTGTAAGCAGCTAGCACACCAGGGACTGTGGTCTTCCTAAGCCTACACCCCCACAGTGGAACTAGAGAAGACAACGGTTGCACACAGCACGCTTGCTACACCTACAGCAGCTTTCTAGGACACTGGTGACCTTTCTCATTTTGTGTTGTCTGAGGTTTTCTGAGACAGGGTCATACTAAGTAGAAGGCCTCAAATTCTGGGCAATCCTCTGGCCTCGGCCTCCCAATTTAGCTTGTTTCTTTGAGGCAGGGTCTCATTCTGTAGCCCAGGCTAGACTAGAATGTGCAATTCTGCCTGGCCTCCCGAATGCTGGAGTCACAGGCAGGCATCCTACACCGTCACATTGGTTCTCTTTACCCTAATTTTGAGAGCTGTGCTTCACATTTTCTCAGCTCTGTACTCTTAAGAGCAAGGCTAAACAAAAAGCCAAACAGAAGATAGAGCCAATTTCCAGAGAAAGGGCAGAAGTGCAGTACTGAATGAACAACTACAGAGCAAATGGGAGAGTTAGCTCTGTAAACACAAGGATACTTCTTTCATTAAAAAGAAAAGCTGGCTGGGCGTGGTGGTGCACACCTTTGATCCCAGCAGAGGCAGGTGGATCTCTTTGAGGTCCAGGCCAGCCTGGTCTACATAGTGAGTTCCAGGACAGCTGGGGCTACAGGGAGACCCTGTCTCAAAAGGACCAAAGAAAAAAAAAAGAAAGAAAAGTTGAAAGCTAGGTGTGTTGCACAGAACTATAATCCCAGCCCTTGGGAGGCTGAAGCAGAGGATTGAGTTCAAGGCCAGTCTAGGCTACAGAGTGAGATTCTATTTCACAGAAGGAAAAAAGCTGACACTGCAACAGGCAGGTAATTCATTCAAAGAATGACCAAAGACCCCCACATACCCCGAGAAGTTACTTAAAGGGGAGAAAAGCTCTTTGACCATGAACACAGTTTTATGTAGGATGAACCACTCTTGCTTCAAGTCATGAGCATGGAAGGAAACCCATTCCTTGCAAGATTGTCTGAGCATGGCGGTGCACGCCTGTGATTCACCCCTGGAAGGTGGAGGCAGGAGGACCAGGAGCTCAAAGTCACCCTTGGCTACACAGGAGTTCAAGGCCAACTGGGGATACATGAGACCCTGTCTAAAAAAACTAAGAACACTAACTGTGGGGACTAGAGCCCAGCCATCTGCCACAGTGGAAAGTTTAAGAGGCTGAAGCCAAGGCTCAGTGGATAAAGCATTGGCTGTGTGAGCTTGAGGACCTGAGTTCAGATCCTCACTACACACATAAAAGTCAGACATGGTGGTACGCATCTGTAACCCCAGTGCTGGAGGCAAAGACAGGAGGGTCCCTGGGGCTCGCTGGCCAGTCAGCCTCGCCTAACCTGTAAGCTCCAGGTTCGGTGAGAGACTGGATGGCTGCTCTTGGTGAGACCCCACCTTCAGCACTTGCTTGGGCAGCTGGCTCAGGGAGAAGTTTAGGACCAACAGCATAGAGGGCCCATGCATCCCACCACACAGGCTAAAGTGCTCACCTTTCATCTCAACCACATCAACAGGGACTTGCTTTTCCCTCATCCGGAAGATTTCAAAATTTGTGACAACACCCTGTTTATAAAACAAAAGAAGAGGTGACACTCTGGAAGCTGAGACCATGAGAAGAGGACACGGAGGCCCACTTGAGAAGTGAACAGAAGACAGTGCTCTCCAGCCAGCACACACATCCATATTGCAGACTGGAGCTCCCTGATGCTGCAGGAGGGTGAAGCACACACCAGGCACACTCTCTGTAGCACACCAAAGGCTGTCAAGAGTGAGGAGGGTAGGTTTAACTCCACAGAACTCTTGTCTAGCATAAAAATGGTTGCCTGGGTGTGATTCCCCACACATGCAAAATAACACCACTACTGAGATGGCTCACCACCCCAAGGATGAGTGTTTTGGAATATGAATTGTATCCCAAGAAAAAAGTTGGGACAGGCATGGGGCTCACACCTGGCACTCAGGAAGGAAACTGATGCACGACTGTCAAGTTTAAGGCCAGCCTGGGCTATACAGTGATACCCTGCTTCAAGGAACTAACCAACCAACCAAAGCAACAAAAATTACCAGGGAAGAGAAGCATTTCTATTAGAAGGCAGGAAAGTGTCTGGTGAGATAAATTATTAAATGATATGAAGAAAATTATCAGTGAACAGGATCTCGTGAAGCAGGCCACATCTGTTTAACAGAAGCTAATACATTTCTTTAACTGCCTGTAAAGGAGGGGCTGGGCACCTGCAGATGTTCTTATTTCCCTGTGACCCCTAAGTTGAGGTGTTACCAACCCTAAAGTGGGGTGTTGTACAAGACTGTTCTCCGAGAGACAAATGCCACCTCCCTGAGCTCAGCTACACCTGCTTGCCAAAGATCATGACAGCTGGGCTTGTTGACTGTGGATGCACGCACAGAAAGGACAAGGAGTCACAGGACCCACATATTCAGCCACATCTGACACCCTAACTGCACATGGCTAGAGGAAAGGGCTGGTGTATACTGGCTGGGGAAGACAAGGGGCAGGGGCAGCATGTGACTGTGGTTGCTTGAGTTACTGATTTGAGTTTCATAAAAAAAATGGTCAAAGCCGGGCATGGTGGCACACACCTGCAGTCCCAACACTTGGGAGGCAAAGGCAGGTGGATCTCTGTGAGTTCAAGGCCAGCCTGGTCTACACAGTGAGTTCCAGGACAGCTGGAGCTACAGGGAGACCCTGTCTCAAAAAAACCAAAAAAGAAGAAAAAAAAAAAGTTCAATAAATTTTGGCTTGGGATAAGGACAAAATTTTCAACCATTTCTGAAATGGCCCTAAACACACTTCCAGCACTTTGGCCTACCCGCTTATGTGCTGACACTCATATAACCCAAAACTCTGAAAAACCCTCCGGTACCAAACATCCAACCAAGTTCCAACTCTTTATGTAAAAAAGCATATCCATCTAAACTTACTTCCCTTAATAAATGATAAAATCACTTGCATATCAATGAACTGTCTTAACATACATTTTTTTGTGATTAACAGTTCATGTTAGATTTCTATATATACCTCGTCTATACACGTACATACCTGTGGTCATTTAAGTTTCTCAGATGGAAAGCAACTGTGGAGGTCAAAGTTTAAGAAGCCTTGACTAGAATATGCTGAGCACCCTCACCGAGATCTGAGAGCAGCTCTGAAAATACTTGCAAGTCTCAACAACAAAACCACCTGGTGCCATCCTTTGAACAGAGCAGCTAGGGGCTGGAGAGATGACTCCATAAGAGGGCTTGCTGCTCTTGGAGAGGACTTGGTTTTGGTTCCCAGCACCAGCATGAAGGCCTATAACCACCTGTATGTAACTCCAACTCAGGGATCTGAAGCCCTCTTCTGGCCTCCAAGGGCACCTGCAAACATGGGGCACTGGGACACACAAACACCAGTGCATGCATATGCACACAAACACAAATAAAAACTAAATTTTTAACAGCACCTAGTTTAATGATGAGTATCATGGCATCTACTCACCTGTGTGCCTTTGGGAGTCCTGTCCACTTTCACACACAAATAATCCCCGTTTTTCTGCCAGTGCAGTTTGCAATCTACCACGTTGAACAGATTCCTCACACGGATCTCCTGTCTGGTGGGGAGCTGCATCAGCGTTACCCTGGCTGGGATATCTTTGTCTTCAGGCACCCAAAAGGCAATGATGTTACCACCTGGAGACCAAGAAAAGTCTCTGCAGGACACAGGAATGAAAGAACAGGAAAGAAAAAGTGATTATTGAGGCAGATTAAGAGCTCCACCCCAGCACCCTGACCCCACCTGCTACACCATGAGCCTGTCACACACCAGTCCTGTGCTAGACATTGTGGCAGCATGGGTTACAGCCCTCGTAACCCTGGAGCATAATTATACTAGTGACAGCCAGGGAATAGACAGACGTTGCTCTTCGTACCCACTGCCACATTTGGATGGACCCCACACTCAGCCACGGTGGGCTGATGGATCCAGCTGCATGATGCCTAGCAGTTAACTAAGATGCAAAGGGAAGGATCCCAAGTCAGAAGGCATAAGAGTACTGGGGAGTGACGGAAGTCCCCCCTCCCCACTACAAATCACTTGAAGGTCACCTGAGTTCAGTATGTGAAAAACCTCTTTATACATGCCCTAGCTGGCGTCCAACTCACAAAAATCCACCTGCCTCTGCCTCCCAAGTGCTGGGATTAAAGGCATGCACCACCACACCTGGCTTAATTTTTTTTTTCCAGACAGGGTCCTCCTGTAGCCCCAGGTGGCCTAGAACTCACTGTGTAGACCAGGCTGGTCTTGAACTCACAAACATCCACCTGCCTCTGGGACTAAAGGTATACCAAAACTGGTCTTGAATACTTTCGTGGTTTTCTGTTTTTCAAATCTGTGTATTTTGCCTACATGTATGTAAGTGCATCCATGCCTATGCAGAGGCCAAAGGACATCAGATTCCTTGGAACTAAGGTTATGTTAGCTGCCGTGTGAGGGCTGGGAACCAAACCTGGATCCTCTGCAAGAGCAGCCAGTGCTCTTACCTCTAAGCCATCTCTCCAGCCTGTATTTTTTGTTTTTTTGAGATGGAGCTTTGCAATGTTGCCTAGATTGATGAAGCTTGTAGGCCCAAATGATCCTCCTCATCCTCATCATCCTAACAGGGAATACCTTCCACCAAGAGCTTCCCCAAGGGACTAGAGCCTCTGTCCCCCAGGTGCCCATTCCCAGCAAGACTCTTTGGGCTTACAGATTTATTTCTGTGTAGAGGAAAAGGAAATGCTGCAGCTGTCAGACGACCTGGGACAACTGGTCTATTGGGCAGGAGCTGCTGCAGCAGCCCAGTGTTCATTCACAGAACAAGCAAAGGCCTTTTCTAACCGCTTAGGAACTGAGTGCTAGTTGGGTATAATAATGCCAGTACCCAGAAAGATCTGGGGTTTGAGGTTATCCTCAGCTACACAGCAACAAATTCCAGGCTAGTTTGAGCTATATGAGACACTCTGAAAAATTAAGATCAAATCTGAGGGCTAAAGGAAGGACACCAAATAAAACCAACAGAAACAGACTGAAGGTTTTTTGATGTTTGTTTGTCTTATTGAGACAGGGTCTCCCTGCAGCCCCAGCTGGCCTCGAATTCACAGACCCACCTGCCTCTACCTCCCAAGTGCTGGGATTAAAGGCGTGTACCACCACACCGGGTTTTTAAACACTCCCCAACTCTACATGCTGAATTTTTAACTGTCAACTGATGGTAACAGGCAGGTCTCTGTGAGGTCAATCTTGGGGATCAGAGGGTGGGGCCCTGGTGAGTGATTGAGCTGCTCCTTCTAACCACCTGAGGTTAAAGAAGCCATTCACCGACCAAGAGGCCCCACCAAACAGAAGCCGCAGGCTCATCTTAAGACTGCCAGTCTCCAGAAGAGAAAGATTCCTGCTGTTTACAGGTGACCAGTCTGTGGTGGTTTATCAAAGCAACCATAGCATACTCATACCAACTTTAAAGGAAATCACTTACTTTATTCCAGAGATCTTCAAGCTCTTCTTGTCCAAAAGGCCCATAGACTACACACACACACACACACACACCAAAAAAAAAAAAAAAAAAAAATCCATAGGTCAGTATAGCAGAGCAATGTAAAATACATTTAACATTTTTTACATTTATTTTGGAGGGGGGCATATGCCATAGCCCATATGGGGAAGTCAGAGGACAACCTGCAGCAGCAGCAGGTTCTCTCCTTCCACCATGTAGGACGTGGGGAATGACCTCAGGTCATCAGGCTTCGTGGCAAGTGCCTTACCAGCAGAGCCATTTTGCTAACCTTCACTTTATTTAAAGGTAGTGAGACTGTGTGTTGACCATTTGGGAGCAGTAGAGGCATGAATGATGGTGAAGAGCAAGATATGGAGCAGGTGAGATTCCAGTGCTCAATCCTGCATGGGCAAGACTGCCTGTGGCCTTTATACCCACCACACCACAGCCCTGTTTCCCTCACCATACCAGACGTTTTCAAAAGCAAACATCTATACCCAAAAGCTTAGCCAACGCATGTGCCTGGTTCGTTCACAGAACAAGGAAAGGCCTTTTCTAACTGCTTAAGAACTGAGTGCTAGCTGGATATGGTGTTACATGCCTATAACTGGTTTGTCTTCTAGAACAACAAACCAGCACAGGAGCTGGGCTGTGATGCAGCAGTAAAGTGCTGTGGAGGCCTGGTTCAACCCCTAGTACTGCCAGAAAGAAGCAAGGACTCACTCACAGGTGTCTCGTAGATGCTGAGTGTGTCCAGCGTCATTCTTGCAAAGAATTTGCCGTCATGGCTCCACCTGAGAGAAAAGCAGTGTCAGGCTGCCAATGGGGCAGGAAGCCACAGGAGGGCCAGTGCTGCAGTTACTCACTTGAAGATGGGCCAATGGGCCGAGCTCTCACAGTGAAACCCTCTCTTCTTATGCCCTGTAAGGATGTCCCAGATGATGATGGCCTGAGGGTCATCCTGAGTGTCCATCAGTGGGCTGAAGGTCACCAGGTATCTGCAAGAGAGAGACACAATGAGCGGGGCACTTCCTGTCTCATGTGGGTCACATGCAGAACACAGGGTGAGCACTGCCCTCCCCAGCACAGGACAGCTTCAGTACACATGCTATGAGTCACAGGCACAGGCAAGACACCTGGAACCAAATAGCATGCTCCCCAAGAAGGCTCTCTGACCCTTCAAAGGAGGGGGTGGGGAAAGCATATGCAGTAGTCACAGGCACACAAGAGTCACCTAGAACACATCAGCACCAGGCAAATCATACACCCTAACAAAGTTGGTGTGAGCAGGCTGGTCTACAGGGAGGCGCACTGTGGAATCCTCACTCCTGTCACCCCATGTTAAGACTAACAAGGTAGATAGATGGTCACATATAGCTCTAAAGCGAGTGTCCTTCTGGGGAATCAGCAATTATCTACCTGACAGCTGCTCTAGCACAAGTAGCACCTGCTCCTTTGTTTCCACAGAGCACAAGTATCCTAACCAGATGGCCCCTCACAGCACTGGGCGGCTGGAGAGGCTGAAGGCAACAGAAAAAACCCTACGCTGCTGCTTCATGCTGCCCATGACTGAAATAAAAAAAAAAAAATCAGCCATGTTAAACTACAGAAAATGCTGAAGCCTGTAACTGAAGACAGTGCCCATACTGCAATCCACAGAACCAAAGCGCGCACGCACACACACATACTGGAGCAGTGTGCAAAGCACTGAAGACTTAAACATGAATAAGACAGACCTGTCTATTCAAGTGGATGGACATGTGAACAGATAAATCTTAACAGGCATGGCAGCACATGCATACTGCACATGTCTGTTATCCCAGCACTCACAGGGCCCCTTTATCTGACGGAACTGTTCTGAGACATGGTTTTCCTCTACATGCCCTCACACACACACACCCATGAGAAATATATACATTGCTTATGTTGGTCATAATAACAGATCAACAATAAAATACAGCAGTTGTGAAAATACATTACAGTAAGTCCTGTCAGTGCTGTTTCTCAAAGAGTCAAGACAGTCACATCTTCCTGCTGTGGGGCTGTATGTAACTGGAGCCTCAGAAGGTTGGAACTATGGCAAGGGAGCTACAACTCTCCCAAGTGGCTTGGGTGTGGGGCTGGGGAGGATGTGCCTTGGTGGGAGAGCACTCGCCTAACATGCTCAAGGCCCTGGGTCACTCAGCATGGCCAAAAAAAACCTTTAAAGCTTGTCCACATAGCCCTGGCAGCTTACACCACATATTAAAGGAATAGGGCAGTGTTTGAAGGAGAATCGTAGTAGTAAGTACATGGGAGTTCTTGAAACTCATTGTTATCTTTTCTCTCCTTTTTTTCTGATTTAGTCTTTGTTTTGGAGATGGGCGAAAGAGTTGAGACAGGGCTGGCTTTGACAAGCTCATGACTCTCCGCCTCCACCTCAAAAGCAGAGCTCTCTGAAGTCTTCCTGTGATTTCTCTATGAAGTTTGAGACTACTGCAAAATAAACAGGCTTTGCAAACTACCCCCATATAGAAGCCTGCTGGCTGCCTCCCACACCTCACCTCTCACACGGGGAGAAGTCTATGAGCTGGACGCCTTGGTGGCTGAACCTCTGGATCTGCTTGAACTTCTCTCCCCCCCAGAGGGCAATGCCCCTCTGATGGAAAGTGGCCAAGTAGGTGCCCTTGGGGGACCAGCGCACGTATGTCTCTGTCCATCTCTGTGGGAGAAGGCAGGGTCAGGGTTAGCATGAGACAAAGCCAAGCAAGGCAAGTCTTTTTTCTACACTGAAATCTTTCCTCATTTCTCAGAACTTGTTTCTAAACTTGGAAAGGCATGGGAGTTCTGAGAGTGGCCTCAGAGAACATGAGCGTTGCCTTACTTGTCCCAGTTTTGGATAGAAACCGGACCTGATGCTAAGGACAGGTTATGGGGTGCCAAGGCTGTGAGTGCCCACAGCTGCAAGCACATACCGCTCTTTCTTCAATAGAGACGGGGTCTTTCACATCATTCCAGAAGATGGACGTGCGGTCTCCACTCTCAAAGATAACACTGTATTGATCTCTGCACTCTGCCTCCTCTAGCCAGTACCGCAGATTCCCCTAAAAACAACCCAAAGCGAGAGAGTTAAGAACACTGCATTCATTTGGATCCAAGAACACTTACCGACAACCACTGCTCGCAGAGGGCAAATACAGTGGACACCTTTTTAGCTCCATTCCTACCCTCAAGTCAGGGTGCCCAGAGTTTCTAACTGCAGAGACTTTGTCCAACGTACCAGGTCTTTGAAAGGCTGTTTCTCTGGGATGTCCCACTCGTCACTGATAGTCATGTACCTGGAAAAGAACAGACACTGCTGAGTGGCACAGGCTGATGGGATGAGGGGACACTGTACCAACTCTCAGGACATGTGACCAGGAAGCACTGGGCTCTCTCTGCCCACACAAGCCCAAGGCGGAAATGTGAAACTATTGGTCCCGCTTGGCCAAGAAGACAGAACAACCCAAAATGTCACTGACACCCACTGAGGGACACTCCATCACCCACAGGCACCCACATCCATTCTCAGTCAAGTTCAAACTCACTTGTCAAAATCAGTGAAAAGGTTGACCCGGAATGTGTGCTGCTTGTCAAGTTTGTAGCCGTCAGCATTTTTTACAGCGTCCACAGCATGGGCAGGAGAGGCGTATTCCAGAAAGATATACCTGGCAAGAAGACAGGCAGCTTGCATACAGGCTGCTTCAAGGCCTGTACACCTGAGACCTTTCTACAGGGACATACATCCTGCTTGTCCTGTAGGGGCCCCAAGGCAGTCAAACAGGAATGCATGGCCCAAACAGTTTCCCAATCAAGGATGAAGCCCTGCTGAAAAGATCTTACATCTCTAACTTCATGGTTATAAACTACAGAAAAGAGGGCTGGAAAGAAGGTTCAGTGGTTAAGAGCACTGGCTGCTCTTCAGAGTACCCAGGTTCAGTCCCCAGAACCCATGTAGCATTTCACAACGGTCTATAACTCCAGTTCCAGAAGATCCGATGTCCTCTTCTGGCTTCTGTGGTCAATGCGCACATGGTACACTCACATCCATGTAGACAAAACACTCATACACATAAAATAAAAATAAAATACCACAAAAAATTGCAAAATTAATGACGAATGCACACATGGTGCACTCACATACATGTAGACAAAACATTCATACACATAAAATATCACAAAAAAATAAATTACAGAAGTTAATTAAAGACGACGTTCATTATCCTGCGAGGCACGCATAGGTTAAAAATGTACCACGTCTGCCTACCCACTTTAGGCTCTGCAGGGTTACTGGATAGCAATCACCTCATGAAAGCTGTCAAAAGTCTACTATTACATGTCACAGGCAGATTACACAGGCTCTTAAGAGGATGCTTCACTATAGACACCTAATACACCAACTGCCTGTCAACCTTACTCTGAAATATAAATACTGACAGCTACCTGGAATTGATGATTTTTCTAGAAACAAACTTTCCATACAGCCTTATAAATGTCAAGACTGGGCATGGTGGTACACACCTTTAAACCCCAGCACTCAATCTCACAGAGGCTATCCTGGTCTACATAGGGAGTTCCAGGTCCGCTGGGACTACAGAAGACCCTGTCTCAAAACAACAAACCCCAAAACAGTAAGACTGTAATTTCAAAAAGTAACTTTCTGGTGGGGGGGAAGGGTGTCAAGACAGGGTCTGACTATGTAGCACAGCTGGCCTGAAACAGTATGTTCACCCTGGCTGGCCTCAGAGATCCACCTCCCTCTGCCTCCTGGGTTCTGGGACTAAAGGCGAGAGCTACCACATCCATCTTTACTTCTTTGTCCCTCTCTCCAAAAGTGACCTTTATCATCTTGCATTCCCCTCAGACAACATTGGTATTTACAGGAAGTCTGGTCTGACAATACTGGCCAATAGCAATCAAACCCCTATAAAACTCTGAAACCACTCTGGACCATGCCATCCTGTCCAGTTGAGGAAGCTGCTGGGCACTGCTCAAAAGCCTCAGTCCTGAGTGACAAACATCAGGTGAGCACAGAAGGCTATCAGCAGTCTGTCTACAGTCAAAACACTGTCAGCAGACAGGAAAACGGACAAGCGTGAAAGACATCAGAATACCACTTAAAACATAGCCCTGGGTTCTACCCCGAGCACCAAGATAAACAAGATGAAGAAGAGTGAGGAGGATCTCTGCGAGTTCAAGGCCAGCCTGGTCTACAAAGTGAGTTCAGGCAAGCTGGGGCTAAAAAAGATGGAGAGTCAGGGCTGAAGAGATGGCTCAGTGGTTAAGAACAGTGGTTGTTCTTGTAGAAGACCCAGGTTCGAATCCCAGCACCCACATGGCAGCTAACAACTGTTGGTAACTCCAGGCCGAGGGGATCCGACAGCCTCTTCTGACCTCCTTGGGCACTGCACAACATGGGTGCACTTACCTACATGCAGGCAATACACGCATACACATAAAAAATAATAAATAAACTAAAAAAAAAAGATGGAGAGTCAAAATCATCTGCACAGAAGACCTAATTCTGAACAGAAAAAGCAAGCTGCAGGTCACAACCCAGGCTAACACTGTCGCTATGAAATTCCAGTAGCAGTAAGTTGGAAGGTGCTAACAAGCAGTGACACAACACTTTCACCTAGACTGTAAGAGACAGTACCCCCATTTCAGAGAAGCTAAATGCTTTTAAAAAGCATGTCAGAGATGGGGCTGGAGAGATGGCTCAGCGGTTAAGAGCACTGACTGCTCTTGCAGAGGAGCCTGGTTCAATTTCCAGCACCCACAAGGCAGCTATGAACTGTCCTTGACTCCAGTTCCGGGGGAATCCGATGCCCTCTTCTGACCTCCGCAGCACTGCATGACACAGGTGCACTCACATACATGCAGTCAATATACACATACACACAAAATAAAAACAGTAAAATATATTTTAAAAAAAAAATTAAAAAAGCGTCAGAGGATAGGGCAAGGTGGCACACACCTTTAATCCCAGCACTTGGGAGGCAGGGGCAGGTGGATCTTTGTGAGAAAAGAGGCTAGTCTGGTCTACATAGCAAGTTCTAAGCCAATCAGAGCTACACAGTAAAGCCCTGCATAAAATAAAATTTCATCAGAATGAAATTCCAGGCAGATCCACTCAGAGCCCTGTGTCCAGGTCAGCACCTATCCTGGGTGGCCTGCTGTTCCTGCCCAGACTTAAGGACCAGCTCTGGCATCCTCAAGGTCTGCAGCTACTTACGATACTGGTTCTGAGCCCTCCCACACTCTCCTGCCCCTGAAGACCAAAGCCTCATTGTGGAGAGCTTCCCTCTGAGGTGGCCTAAGCACATACCACAAAACACCTGCCACTTGGGCGACAAGCACAGACTCACCCTTTCGTCTTTCCATCCTCTTCGGGGTAATAGTCGTTGATGATTTTACCAAACTTGGAGAAGATCTTGTGGATGACGTTCTTGAGCTTCTCCAAGCGGTCAGGCCCCACCTGAGGGACGTTGTCCACCACAATCACAGAGTCGATACCATCTGCTTCCTGGGGCCGGTCCTTGAGCACATCACCAAGCAGTTCTGTGTGAGAGAGATGGTGAATGGCTTCTATTAAACCAAGAAACAGCAACCCACCGGCAACTTAGCACACTTAGCAATGCTTCTAAGAGCCATATACGACTCTAAACTTGTTTACCATGAACAAAGAAATCATGGCCTAGCTTGCTTCAAAAATTAAACAAGACCAGGTATGGTGGCACATGCCTTTATTCTTAGCACATGGATTTTGATTCCTGGGACTTAACACAGTGGAAGGAGAAAACTAATTAGCTGGGTGTGATGGCACATGTGTTTAATCCTCAGGAAGCAGAGGCAGGCAGATCTGTGAGATTAAGACCAGCCTGGTCTACATAGCAAGTTCTAGACCAGTGAGATTCACGTAGTGAGACCCTGTCTTTTCTTTCTTTTTTAAAAAATATTTTATTTATTATTTATTTATTTTATTTTATTTTATTTTATTTTATTTTATTCTCAAGTTCTCATGTACACTGTGTAAGCACTCTAGCACTGAGCTATATCCCCAGCCCTTTTTGTATGCTTTCTTCTTTTGAGACAGTGTTTTACCAAGTTGCCTCTTATTATTTTTATTTTATGTGTAAAAGTGTAATGCCTGCATATAGGTGGGGCAATGCCCAAGGAGTTCAGAAGAGGGTGTGGAATCTCCTGGAACTGGAGTTACAGATGGTTGCTAGCTGCCATGTGGGTGCTGGGAATGGAACCTGGGTCCTCTGCAAGAGCAGTCAATGCTCTTAACTCCTGAGCCATCTCTCCAGTCTGAGACCCTGTCTTCTAAAAAAATTAAAAAAAAAAAAGAATCAGCAAGAAACAGGAAGGTGAATCTTCATACTCCTTTTCATGGGAAGTACAGTCAAGATGTATCCATTAATTTCTGGCATCCATGAAAGACTCGCACAAGAATGAAAAAGACTAAGATGCCGTGCACAAATGAGGAAAAGCTGAAGAGCCCACTAGACTGGCCCCAGACTACACAAGGCTCCAGGCAACATCTGAGCAGGAATGGAAGAACATGGCTGTAATGGACCAGGATTAAAAACAGGCATGGAGCAAACACAAGCATCTCCAAACAAGTGGCCAGGAGCCCACAGTACCCAAACCTAGAGCCCGGGGCACTACCCACTGTTCCGTTTGAGGTCCCTCTCAGCCTTCAGCACTTTGAGCAAGAAAACAAAGCTCACCCAACCTTGGTCAGATGTTCTGCACAAACCCTAACCCAGCTAGCCTGCCTAGAAAGCTGACAGTTACTGGAAGCTGGAAAAGGTGCCTTTTAAAGTTGCAGTCGAAGCCCGCCCAAATGAAAGCCCATCAGTGAATAGAGCCAAAGACCTTACAGGCCCATTTTAAAGGGCAGCTGAAGGGCTATCTGGGTACAGTGGTGCTTGTTTAAGCTCAACTACCAAAGAAGCCAAGGCAGGACGACTGCTAATTCTAAGGTCAGCCTGGACAAAGTAGCAACACCTAGTTTCAAAACAAAAGGGGCCATCTCAGTGGCTCAGCAGGTAAAGTACTTGTCATGAAAGCCTGATGAACTGACTTTGATCCTTGAAACCCAAGTAAAAAGCCCAAATGCAAGGGCTGGAGATGGCTCAGTAATTAAGAGCACCTTGCTGCTCTAGCACAGGACTGGAGTTCAAGTCACCTGTAACTCCAGCTCCGTGACATCTAACATCCTCCTATTCTGCCCTCCATGGGAGGTGCCAGATGTAGTGGTGCATCTACTGCACCCCAGCTGTAGGAGATAGCAAGATGGGAGGCGGAGACGGGAGAAGCTCCTGGAAGCTGTAGGTCGGGAGGCCTGGACTACAAATGTGGCACAGTAGAGATCCTGCTTCAAAGTGGAGAGAACAGCCGGGCGTGGTGGCGCACGCCTGTAGTCCCAGCACTTGGGAGGCAGAGGCAGGTGGATCTTTGTGAGGTCAAGGCCAGCCTGGTCTACATAGTGAGTTCTAGGACAGCTGGGGCTACAGGGGACCCTGCTTCAAGAAGACAAAAAAAAAAAAACCAAACAAACAAAGTGGAGAGAACAGATGCCAAAAGTTGTCTGACCTACACACACAGATCCACACTCACACACACGCACATATAATAATGAAAAATAATAAACTAGGCCAGATGTGTTGGAGCATGCCCCTATCCGAGCACTAGGGAGGCAGACAGATTTCTGTGACATAGAGACTAGCTTGGTCTACATAGTGAGTTCCAGACCAGCTGGAGCTACAAGGAGATCCTGTCTCAAAAAGAAAGAAAACACTAATACACACACACACACACACACACACACACACACACACAAATAAGTAA